AGAGAACCTTTACCGCACGTGTAAGTTCTGTCAAGCACCTTAACTACTGGGAACGCTTGGAAGCACTTGACTTGTACTCATTGGAACGCAGGAGAGAGAGATATATCATAATCTACACTAGGAAAATCCTGGAAGGAATGGTCCCGAATCTGCACACAGAAATCACTCCCTGCAAAAGTAAAAGACTAGGCAGGCGATGCAAAATACCCCCAATTAAAAGTAGGGGCGCCATTGGTACACTAACAGAAAACACCATAAGTGTCTGGGGCCCAAGACTGTTCAACAGCCTCCCACCAAGCATAAGGGGAATTACCAATAACCCCCTGGCTGCCTTCAAGAGAGCTGGACAGATACCTAAAGTCAGTGCCGGATCACCCTGGTTGTGGTTCGTATGTTGGACTGCGTGCGGCCAGCAGTAGCAGCCTGGTTGATCAGGCCCTGATCCACCGGGAGGCCTAGTCGTGGACCGGACCGCGGGGGCGTTGATCCCTGGAATAACCTCCAGGTAGGGTATTGGCGCTACCTCGGATCAAACCTGATTATCATCCATTCCCCAGGCGATGTATGATCTCTGGTTAAGTGGTTCCCCATCATACTCCATCACATAGGATGGTTTTCAGATCATACTCCATCACAAAGGATGGTTTTCAGATCATACTCTATCACATAGGATGGTTTTCAGATCATACTCCATTACATAGGATAGTTTTCGGATCATACTTTATCACATCAGATAGTTTTCGGATCATACTCCATCACATAGGATAGTTTTCAGATCATACCAAATCACATAGGATAGTTGTGGAAAATTGCATTTAGCTGAATGTATCATTGTGTACATAACAGTAAATGAACAGATAATTATTATTTATCAGTTAGACAAGTAGGAATTTGGGACACCAAGGTCGCAAAAAATGTCCCACTTCGATACCTACCACTGTCATATCCACAAGTTGCTCTGGACCTATTAATTAAATGAAATATACATACACCAGGAATACTGGTAAATATATAAATTTGTGGACTGTATATTAAAAAATGATTATATATAAATTCACATATACATAACAGAAGGAAAATATATCTTAATATCACTCACCAATTTGACTGGATATTAAGTTGTATCATACTCAGAAAGACCTCACTGGAGTTTACCTGGAGAGAGTTCCGGGGGTCAACGCCCTCGCGGCCCGGTCTGTGACCAGGCCTCCTGGTGGATCAGAGCCTGATCAACCAGGCTGTTGCTGCTGGCTGCACGCAAACCAACGTACGAGCCACAGTCCGGCTGGTCAGGAACCGACTTTAGGTGCTTGTCCAGTGCCAACTTGAAGACTGCCAGGGGTCTGTTGGTAATCCCCCTTATGTATGCTGGGAGGCAGTTGAACAGTCTCGGGCCCCTGACACTTATTGTATGGTCTCTTAACGTGCTAGTGACACCCCTGCTTTTCATTGGGGAGATGTTGCATCGTCTGCCAAGTCTTTTGCTTTCGTAGTGAGTGATTTTCGTGTGCAAGTTCGGTACTAGTCCCTCTAGAATTTTCCAGGTGTATATAATCATGTATCTCTCCCGCCTGCGTTCCAGGGAATACAGGTTTAGGAACCTCAAGCGCTCCCAGTAATTGAGGTGTTTTATCTCCGTTATGCGCGCCGTGAAGGTTCTCTCTACATTTTCTAGGTCAGTAATTTCACCTGCCTTGAAAGGTGCTGTTAGTGTGCAGCAATATTCCAGCCTAGATAGAACAAGTGACCTGAAGAGTGTCATCATGGGCTTGGCCTCCCAAGTTTTGAAGGTTCTCATTATCCATCCTGTCATTTTTCTAGCAGATGCGATTGATACAATGTTATGGTCCTTGAAGGTGAGATCCTCCGACATGATCACTCCCAGGTCTTTGACGTTGGTGTTTCGCTCTATTTTGTGGTCAGAATTTGTTTTGTACTCTGATGAAGATTTAATTTCCTCGTGTTTACCATATCTGAGTAATTGAAATTTCTCATCGTTGAACTTCATATTGTTTTCTGCAGCCCACTAAAAGATTCGGTTGATGTCCGCCTGGAGCCTTACAGTGTCTGCAATGGAAGACACTGTCATGCAGATTCGGTGTCATCTGCAAAGGAAGACACGGTGCTGTGGCTGACATCCTTGTCTATGTCGGATATGAGGATGAGGAACAAGATGGGAGCGAGTACTGTGCCTTGTGGAACAGAGCTTTTCACCGTAGCTGCCTCGGACTTTACTCTGTTGACGACTACTCTCTGTGTTCTGTTAGTGAGGAAATTATAGATCCATCGACCGACTTTTCCTGTTATTCCTTCAGCACGCATTTTGTGCGCTATTACGCCATGGTCACACTTGTCGAAGGCTTTTGCAAAGTCTGTATATATTACATCTGCATTCTTTTTATCTTCTAGTGCATTTAGGACCTTGCCGTAGTGATCCAATAGTTGAGACAGACAGGAGCGACCTGTTCTAAACCCATGTTGCCCTGGGTTGTGTAACTGATGGGTTTCTAGATGGGTGGTGATCTTGCTTCTTAGGACCCTTTCAAAGATTTTTATGATATGGGATGTTAGTGCTATTGCTGTTGCTTTACTGCCCCCTTTGTGGAGTGGGGCTATGTCTGTTGTTTTTAGTAAATTTATGAAAACACTGGCCAGAATTATACACAAATCTAGAGAGCTTATCTGAGGTTCCTGGAGCTGTCTTGTCCAGTTGTCTGATATCTCAAGTTATTCAGGAATGCACATCCAACAATTTCGCTTCCTATTTGAGAGGTGTCAATCCAATTTTAACCTCTAGAGCACGAAAAATTCTTCCCATTAAATTAACGTTGTATCCAATTCAAAACCAAGATGGCGAGTCTCCTTCTGCGCAGGCGCAGCTTCCCGTTTTCGATTACATAAATTTTAAATACAGTATGGCCATCTATTTACATTTAATAACTACTGTATTTCTGGAAAATATATACAGTATTTTCCACAATAGTTTTTCAAATCATACTTCATCACATAGGATAGTTTTCGGATCATACTCCATCACATAGGATAGTTTTCAGATCATACTCCATCTCTTATCTCTTATCACATACGATAGTTCTCAGATCATACTCCATCACATACGATAGTTTTCGGATCATACTCCATCACATAGGATAGTTTTCAGATCATACCAAATCACACAGGATAGTTTTCAAATCATACTCCATCACATTGGATGGTTTTTGAATCATACTCCATCACATAGGATGGTTTTCAGATCATACTTCATCACATAGGATGGTTATCGGATCATACTCCATCACATAGGATGGCTATCGGACCATACTTCATCACATAGGATGGTTATCAGATCATACTCCATCACATAGGATGGTTATCGGATCATACTCCATCACATAGGAGGGTTTTCGGATCATACTCCATCACACAGGATGGTTTTTGGATCATACTCCATCACACAGGATGGTTTTCGGATCATACTCCATCACATAGGATGGTTTTCGGATCATACTCCATCACACAGGATGGTTTTTGGATCATACTCCATCACATAGGATGGTTTTCGGACCATACTCCATCACATAGGATGGTTATCGGATCACACTCCATCACATAGGATGGTTATCGGATCACACTCCATCACATAGGATGGTTTTCGGATCATACTCCATCACACAGGATGGTTTTCGGATCACACTCCATCACATAGGATGGTTATCGGATCACACTCCATCACATAGGATGGTTTTCGGATCATTCTCCATCACACATGATGGTTTTTGGATCATACTCCATCACATAGGATGGTTATCGGATCATACTCCATCACATAGGATGGTTATCGGATCATACTCCATCACATAGGATGGTTATCGGATCATACTCCATCACATAGGATGGTTATCGGATCATACTCCATCACATAGGATGGTTATCGGATCATACTCCATCACATAGGATGGTTATCGGATCATACTCCATCATATAGGACGGGGGTTTCCTAAAACAAGTAAGCAAAAAAAAAAATGAAATCTTTCAATGGAAATAGCCATATTGTTAACCCTTGTCAATATTGAGTTTAGGTCCTGGTCTAAACTCACGCATATTATTATGTAAAATGCAAACATGTTATACCTCGGTAACAATTATTTCTTGTGCAGATTTTTATCTAGAAATAGATAAAATAATACGTTTATTTTGTCATGAGCGGCACGTACTGAGTCACGTAATCGGCCAGTATAGCAGCAGCGTAAACAAACGTGTAAAGAATATAAACAAGAACGTTTCGTGCCCATATCTACCTCTGGCGGAGGACTCAAATGCTGACGTAGCCCTTTGAAAAGCAACAACAACAACCGCTGGTTGAGTCAAGTTAATTACGTCAGACTATTTCAGGTTGAGTTTCCCTAGGTTAGGTTACGTTTCTTACCATTTGTTTTTAAATAAACTCATTTAACCCTCTTTACACTGGACATTTTAAGAAATAAATTATCGATCAACTCAAAAGAGGACCTGAAATCAATATTGACCTTTCATTTTATTTGGTTATCCTGAGTAAAATCCATATAATGTGCTTTTTTATGCCCATAAAATCATGGGCTCTCAAGACTATTGTAATTTATTTTTCATTATGTAGGGCAGTGAAAGCCTAAATAAAAACTTACAGAGGCGGCGGTTCCATCATCAGCAAAGTCATATTATATGGACTCTCAGCTGCCTTCATTTATATTCATTATGCTAAATATATATTTAAACAATAGGAATGTAACATATAATATTTACTAAATTTGATGACTTTGAAAGGATACAATACAAATACAAATATTTATTTCCTTGTAAAGGATGGCAGCCTATCGATTTTTTGTATCACTAAAAGCATAAATAAACGTTTCTACTTTTTTATTTGTTCCTTTCGCCACAGGGGATCTATAAGTTTTATTAGTGGCCAGATTAATGATGTAACTTGCTCTACAAAAATGTGTGTTGTATACATAAGAGAGACATACAAGGTGTGTGTGTGTGGGAAGCCTGGCACAAACACTAGCCACGCCATGTTTAACATAACTCGTTGTCAATAATGGCTCCCTGTTCATATATTTAGCGTTTTTCTCCCCCTGTGAGTATCACAACCTATTCCACTCTCTCCTTGTTAATGTCAAAATTAACGCTTTGGCCCCCCTGTCCCCTAATCAACTGGATTTCGCCAAACTTCACCCTCAAAACCTCAAAAAAGCTGGCTTGAGGCTCCAACACGGTCAAGACTTTGTTTCGTTGGTTTCTGTTGAAGTTACAGAGTGGGTGAGGTAAGCCCCAGCAAGACCATGACAGCTGATATCACTAGCTCCAATATAAGACCTAGGCCCGTTCCAGATGCTTTTGCTGTAGGTGGACTCTTTGTTTCGTTGATTATTAAGATCCCACCATCGTCCCCCCCCCCCCTCCCTTCCCCCCTGTAGTGACCACCATTTGTAGATAAATGGCTCAGAGAACCGACAAGTTGATATATTAAACAAATGTGCAACACTTAGGTATCTTTATTGTGGAAAGCGCTTCGCCACACAGTGGCTTCTTCAGTCCAATACAGAGAAGAATGAATGAAGATCAGGAGGAATTCGAGGTAATCAGTCCCTCAGCCTGGAGTCGATGTAATTAGTCCATCAGTCTTGAACTGATTACATTGACTTCAGGTTAAGGAACTGAGTACCTCAAGCTTCTTCTGTAATCAGTCCATCAAAGCTGGTGGACTAATTACATTGACTCCAGGCTGAGGGACTGATTATCTTAAACTCCTCCTGATCTTCTACCATTCTTCTCTATATTGAACTGAAGAAGTCACCATGTGGCAAAATGTTACCATGATAAAAATACTCGAAGTGTTGCACATGTGTGTAATTTATCAACTCAACCATTTGATCAGTAATGCTGTAGGTGTATTCCCCCCCCATCCCCCCCATGTACTTGTATAGCATATGTGTGTAAAGTTACGTTGTCAAGAGCTTCTTACGCATTGCATAAAAACAAAGTAAATTGCTGTAGGCCTACTGACCATGCTAGGTAGGTCCTACTTACACCCACCATGTATTTGTGCAACCAACATTTTTATGTATACATATACAGTAGTATGTAACCAGTAGATGTAGCATAGGACGGCAGTTGGTTGGTTGGGCAGTTACGGTTAATCATGTGAAGTTGTAATTTTTTGGTGCTGGGATGTTATTTATAGTGCCTAATATAGTAAGTAATCTCATCAGCATTCCCAATTTGTTGATTGGTCAGAGGTCCTGATATCTTCCTGTTGAAAAGCTTTCCCATACATAAATTTAGTGAAACCATTGACAAGCAGTTTTTCTTTTTTAATACATGGGCCATTTCCCACCAAGGCAGGGTGGCCTGAAAAAGAAAAACTTTCATCATCTTTCACTCCATCACTGTCTTGCCAGAGTCATGCTTACGCTACAGTTATAAGACTGCAACATTAACACCCCTCCTTCAAGCATTAACCTAATGTAATCAAATTTAACTTGAACCTAAATTATGTTGTTGAATTACTTGTAATAACACTGTATGTGGTTATATTGTAACAAGTCACTAAACTTACTGTGTGTTGTTCACATTTGTTTGAATTTTTAACTCAGAGGGTTAGCCACCCAGGATAACCCAAGAAAGTTAGTGTGTAATTGAGGATTGTCTGTCTTATTTTCATTGGGGTCTTTCAATCTTGTCCCCCCAGGATGCGACCCACATTTGACTAAACCCAGGTACCTACTTATTGCTAGGTGAACAGGGACAGCAGGTGTAAGGAAACATGCCCAGCATTTCCACTCATGTCAGAGATTGAACCATGGACACTCAGTGTGTGAGGCGAGAGCATTGCCAACCAAGCCACCAACTAATTGAGCCTGCCTCCTGGGAGTCTAGGGAAAGTGTTGCCCAAATCTAAGTGGGAATGATAAAAGGAATCAAGGTTTCCTCCAGAAAGAGTGACTGGAACAATGTTTCCAATTTGGTTAGGTGGACTCCTCTTGCCTAAACCCCACCTGAGTCAACAGCAGGCCCCCCCTTCCACAGGAACCTGCTGCTAGGATAATTCTTGACCTCTCAGATATTTGTCCTCATCGTATTCTGCCCGCTGGGCACTACAGGAGGGACACCATTCATGAACTCCATTTTTCTGCTCTGCATTTATTTTTTTAACAGTTTTGGTGGAGGCTGGTTCCTGAACTCTGGTGAGGGTGTGGGCATCCACTCTGCTGGGACTTGGCAAGGGGAATCCGCCTGGCCTACTTGGGAATTTCGTTTCTGTTTATTTGCAGAGGGATTTCTGTTCCCCTTTCATTCATCCCCCAGCTTTGGGCAATGTCTCTTCTGCGTGCATCAGAAAGCAGAGCTTAATAGAGCATAAGCAGTCAGTGGCCCTTACAAACCCAACAAGAACAAGAAGAAAATAAGTCTTGATGTTTGTAATTTGAAAAGTTGGTGACTTCGCCTGATGCCAGTTTCCCATATATCTTGTAAATAAAATATAAGCACAGCATTAGGACATTAATGCAAATGTTTCACTCACTGGGAGCTTTGTCAAAACTCCCAGTGAGTGAAAAGTTTCCATTATAAACATTGCAGTACTGCACCTATCTTATTTGCATACACTACCTGTTGGTATTTGATCCAGTACCATCTTTGATCAAGCTATATCATATTTGATTAATTGCATAATTTAATGGCGATGAGACCTAGTGAGTACCAGTGATCTTGCCAACATTTCGAAGTCACTAATGGTCTGGAAAAGACTCGGATAGTTTCTTACTAGTGGAGAGTTCTCCTGTGTATAGGTTTTGCAAAGCTGTCATGAGTACTCTTCTAAATATATTACAGTAGACCGTCATATAACGTTCCTGAAAATGCTGTTAGGCAAAACCGTGTTAGATGAACTGAAGAACTTGTGGGAAAAATAGGGTTATGTTCCTGGGAGCCCCTAAAAAGCCAAACAGCTTTTTTTTAGACCAACAGATCTTACAAAAAAAAAAAGTGACTGTGTAATTGTAGTTCATTGTTGTGATGTATTATGTTTTTTCACTGCTTAATATTATAGATCCAACAGAAATAATAGCATTTCTTACCTTAAATTATGAGTGCTGGTGGTTGTGGATGACAGTGGAGAGTGGAGAGTTATGTTGTGGCCCTACTGAACTGAGGTGGATAGTAGAGGTTCTGGTACTATAGTCAGTGGTTGTACTCAAGTGTGCATAAATTCTGTAATGGATTTCTGTTCTATTTTACCTAGCAGTACATTCATTATACAACCGACGGTAAGGCATCAGCTGCTCTAGATACCGTTTCAGGGTCCTCTTCAGTGAAAAAGTCTAACTTCAAGTAAGTCAGTAAATCAGTCAAGTCAGTCAGTCATCACACAAACTCATATTTACCTCATTCTTATGTGCTGACCCACAGCAAGGCTGCAGCTTGAGCATGGGAAATTTTTTCCCGCACCCACAAATGGAACCATGTAAAGTTAATTTTACAAAGTGTTGTATAAAATTGTGCCGCAATTTTTCAATTGTGCTATGACCAGATGGTGCAAAATAAACTTGTGTTAAATGACAGTCTACTGTATTTCATTTGTTTTATAATGCATTTTGTCATGAGTACAGTGGACCCCCGCATAACGATATTAATCCGTTCCTGAGAGCTCATTGTTATGCGAAATTATCGTTATGCGAATGAATTTTCCCCATAAGAAATAATGGAAATCAAATTAATCCGTGCAAGACACCCCAAAGTATGAAAAAAAATTTTTTTACCACATGAAATATTAATTTTAATACACACAAACTGAAAAAGACATGCACAGTTACATGACACTTACCTTTATTGAAGATCTGGTGATGATCAAATTGATGGGATGGGAGGAGGAGAGAGTCTTAGTGTTTAGAAGGGGAATCCCCTTCCATTAAGACTTGAGGTGTCAAGTCCTTTTCTGGGGTTACTTCCGTTCTTCTTTTAATGCCACTAGGACCAGCTTGAGAGTCACTGGACTTCTGTCGCACAACATATCTGTCCATAGAGGCCTGCACCTCCCGTTCCTTTATGACTTTCCTAAAGTGGTTTACAACATTGTCAGTGTAATAGTCACCAGCACGGCTTGCAATAGCTGTGTTAGGGTGATTGTCATCAAAAAAGGTTTGCACGTTAAGCCACATTACACACATTTCCTTAATCTTTGAAGTAGGCAACTTCTTCAATTTCTCTCTCCCCTCCTCCGAAGCAGTTTCCTCAGGTCTGGCCTCATGCTGATGAAGATGATCTAGCAGCTCATCAGTGGTTAGTTCTTCATTGTCCTCCTCAACCAACTCTTCCACATCATCCCCACTAACCTCCAACCCGAAGGACTTTCCCAATGCCACAATGGATTCCTCAATTGGCATACTCCTCTCAGGGTTAGCCTGAAACCCTTCAAAATCCCTTTTGTCTACACATTCTGGCCACAGTTTCTTCCAAGCAGAGTTCAAGGTCCTCTTAGTCACTTCCTCCCAAGCCTTACCTATAAGGTTTACACAATTGAGGATATTAAAGTGCTCTCTCCAAAACTCTCTTAGAGTCAGTTGAGTTTCTGAGGTCACTACAAAGCACCTTTCAAACAGAGCTTTTGTGTACAGTTTTTTGAAGTTTGCAATAACCTGCTGGTCCATGGGCTGCAGGAGAGGAGTGGTATAAGGAGGCAAAAACTTCACCTTAATGAAGCTCATGTCCCCACGAAGTCGCTCTGCCACGTCTGTAGGATGACCAGGGGCATTGTCTAACACCAGGAGGCACTTAAGGTCTAATTTCTTTTCAGTTGGGTAATTTTTCACATTGGGGGCAAATGCTTGGTGTAACCAGTCATAGAAAAAGTCCCTAGTGACCCATGCCTTACTGTTTGCACTCCACAGCACACACAAATTAGCCTTGAGGATATTCTTTTGCCTGAACGCTCTGGGAGTTTCAGAGTGATACACTAATAAAGGCTTCACTTTGCAATCACCACTAGCATTGGAACACATGAGAAGAGTAAGCCTGTCTTTCATAGGCATATGTCCTGGGAGTGCCTTTTCCTCCTGAGTAATGTAGGTCCTGCTTGGCATTTTCTTCCAAAACAGGCCTGTTTCATTGCAATTAAACACTTGTTCAGGTTCCAGTCCTTCACTGTCTATGTAATCCTTGAATTCCTGCACATATTTTTCAGCTGCTTTGTGGTCCGAACTGGCAGCCTCACCATGCCTTATCACACTATGTATGCCACTATGCTTCTTAACCCTTTGAGGGTTTTGGTCGTACTAGTACGTCTTACGCGTAGGGGTTTTTGACGTACTAGTACGCATAAATTCTAGCGGCCTCAAATCTCGCA